AAGTGTATTAAACATTTTTCTACATTTAGCTCTGATATATACTCTGATATATACTTTAAATTCTATGGCATAGTTGAGCCATAATGGTTCTTTCTTCCTTCTTTATTTTATGAGTGGAAAACATGCAGCAATGCCATGCACAATGGAGATCACTCATAAGTAACCTGAAGATGTGGGGGAAATTTTCTCAGTATACAGTGCACTGTGACAATCCAGCATTCCCAGTGTTGCCGTATATGAGGCCCTAGACACTTAAAATCTAAGCTATTTTTGTGATTATTTATGATTTTCCTCTTTAACAAAAACTTGCACATTATCATTGTATCTGAGTTCTCACTAACTATATGCTCCATTATTTTCAACATTAAAAATTTACACTGCATCACCTTGGGGATGCGTTTGTAAACACTGTAAATCTACCTTTGATTATAGTAGTAAGAAACATTCAGTCCCATCTGTGCAGCATTTAACTGTTACGCTGTATAAGGAAACTTCACACTTAAGAGTAAACCACATTCAGGCAGCAGATGATTGTGAATTAACAACAAATAATTGTGCTTATGTTCAAGATTTATGTTTTTCCTAATTTTAAGGGAAAGAGATAGCGTTGCCTGCTAAGGAAAGAGTTTGGTTTAGCATGCAAGAGCTATAGGGACAATTTGGATGTCCTCCTTTATGTGGAGAAGTAAATTGGTTACACCACTGAATGTTCTGTGTGCTTGTCACCACATCAGTAAAGTGAAAGAAGTAAACAATAATAGTGTTTCAAGTTATGTATCCCAACCGTGCATTCAGCACTGCAGGGATAGTAGAGGAAGAGGAGGTAGAGAAGGCATTTAAAGAGGAAGGTACGATCATCTCGGGCTCTTATTCTATTGTAGCGAGTCATTTATTTCATCTAGTGAAATTCTAGGCTTTTTCTTTAAACAATTCTGCCAAAGAAAAATTATGAAAGCTGCTAGATGTGGGTTTTTTTTCAATCATGGTGATGAATGGATCATTTTAAATCATAGATATTTTTAATCTTCAGTTAACTACAAAGCCTACTACATGTTTTAACATGGAGCTGTAAAATACAAAAGTTCTAGATTTTGTTTTAATATTTGAAATGAAATGGGAAGTTTGTTCAACTGCAGGCTTACAGAACTAGAACTAGCAATTCTCAGTTGCGTGACAAGTACTATTATTTCTGATTAGCAAAACAGTGACTCTTTTGTGACCTCTAGTTAAATCTTAAGCAAAACCAATATTAACTAGAGAGATCATGAAAAACATTGATTTTGTTTGTGTGTATATGCTAGATTTGAAAAAATATACCTTTTACTCTACCACAGTTATATAGGTAATTCTTAAATGTACTCGGATTAGATTAATTTTAATTGGACTTACTGTGTTATTGTACTGAGCAGAAATACATGGGTGGCTCCAATAAACATTTGTCTTTATTTTAAACCTCTTTACTTTTGTTAGCTTATTTGTTTCTGCCTCTGCTTATTTAGAAGATCTGCTGTGCTGAGGTTTTCTTCTGTCCTTTTACAATTCCTCTGCACATGGATATGTCTTCTCTCTTCCTGAAAGACATTTTTCTTTCTTTACTTTGAGGTCTCAGCGTCTCAAACTCAAACAACAATGTGCACAAATTAAAACCAGTGGCTCCATGTGAATTTTATTGATTTCACTCCTCCTTTTAAACTTCTAAGATATCACTTTCATGTTAAAGACCATCCCAAAACAATTACAGAGAAAAGGAATACTGTTGTGATTATTAAGTTTCAGTGATTAAAGTATTCAGGGACAGAAAAAAAACACATAGATCTCTTATTTTTATCAGCTGTGTCCCTGGAACAGAAATAGCTACAAGATGTCTGCATTTGTGGCTGGATTTCTGTGCTCCTCTGAGGCCCATTAATCTGTCAGCTCCACTCAAATTCAACTCATATTTTTAAACTTCAAATATCAGAACACCTAAAAGTACCAAAAATTGATCTTTGTGTCGGCTTTAGTCAGGAATATTCTGTGTACTATCTATAAAATGTAGCACTGAAAACCTAGTTCTCTCTTGATAATATAGATGTATCTTGAGGTTCTCCCATTGCCTAAGGGTCACTGATCACTACTGGGAAAAGAGAACGTCAGCTAAAATGAAGATAAGAATATAGCATTGCCTCAGACTATGTTCACTGCATTTGTATCAGCCGATGTGATTACTAGCATCTACGTTTGGAGTAGTCGGTTAAAAAAAAAAAGTGGAAGATTGCTCTTAGTTTGAAAGAGAAAAAATAAGTTCCAGTTACAGTAAAAGAGGAAACTCTACATTTTAAAATTTTTACCGCTGATTTCTAAATAGATGTAATGCAGCCTTTTTGAACATTATTAATTTTTTTCCCTGAAACTAGAATGTTGACCAAAAAAAGACACAGTATTGCTGCTTTGCTCTGGCTTAGGTTAACTACTGATCCAGTTATATGTACAGTCTGATCATGTCTGTAGTATGAATATGGCCTATAGGTCTTTACTGGATGAGAAAAGCTTGATCTGCAACATAAATCTGCATTCACTCATTTAAGCTGTCTTAAATCTGGAACACTGAATTGAAAAATAACATAGTTCCTTGTGTTAAAGATGATGACATCTTTTTTGCCTGAATGTGACCTTTTACCTTTATTTAAACTTCTGTAACTTCTGTTCTGCATTATTGAAGGTAAGCAAAAACACAAATAAAAGCATTGTTTTATCTACTTATTAACAAGTGTTTGGTTCTTATGAAACTTTTATAAAGATAACATTTTATTTAGTATTTAGTTTATAATAATTATGATTATTATTTTACTAAAAAACTAGGTACCTTACAATTGCAAATAATTACTCTTGGTCTATTCTTAAAATCATACTCTATAGTTCAAATTTATTGAGTCTTTTACAATTCTGCAAAATGCATAGCTTTGGCCACATAGCAAATTATGGCATTATTAATAGGTTCCTTGACTAGAGATTATAAGTCTTTTGTGATGATGTAATGCTAGTAGCACAGTAAATCATTGGATGAGTTACTTGTGTGGCTAGTTTGATCTTTATTTAGAAGAGGTAGATACAAAGCTTGCAGTACAATATTTTTAATTTTTCCTGCAAAGTGAAAGCACAACCATTGTAAGGAAGTGCACTTGCATAGAAGAGGAATTAAATAGATGAAGAATCTAAAACCTAAGGTAATTCCTCCTAATGAATAGGAGAAATGTATTAAATACTGGTACATTCCTTCTAATTATAAAAATTGCACTTAAGTAAGTGAGAATTCTACTTATTTGAAGTTGGCCTCACAGTGAAGATGTTCTAGTTTCATACAGTCTCAAAATGGTATTTTATACTTCTTTTGGATCTTCTCTGGAAACAATGTAGTGGCTGAAAAATACATTGACTATTTAACAATTTATTTAAATAATTCCAAAAGATTTGCATATCTCTGGGTTTTTCTAGTAAAAATAACTTATTTTACATAAGTAGCACTGGTGTTATAAAAGCTGTTTTTATATTGTACTTGACATATTACATATTGAACTCTGCAATAACTATGGGACAATAAATGTTCCTATTCCTAAGTAGTTATCATTCTATTTGAAAAAAAAAACCTCATAAATAGAATATGTAAATAAATCGTGTACCAGTTCTTCAAGTGTGTATTATATAATCAAACATTTTGATCTTTAAGTCTCCCTACTTTAAATAATTATTAAGTTAGGACAATTCAGACAAGTTCAAGATCAAAAAACCAACAATTTTACAAAGTATTACTTACTGGAATAATTTTAAAAAGTCTAGAAAGGTATGTACATTTATCATCATATCATTTTTGACCCTTACCTTTATCCAGACTGGACAAAGGACAATATTAAGGGGCATAATTTTCATCATTTCATGTGTCCCTGAAAATTATCTTTCATGTTTTATTTTTTGTTATAGTGGATTCTTACAGAGACAATATATGTGAATTGGAAACTCTATATTAGTCAATATGTTTTAGAGTATAGGTTCAAAGGGACTGTGAATTGGTAGATTTTAAAGCATAGGTTCATAGGGACTGTGGGTTTGACCTTCTGTATTTTTTGTATTGAATCTTGTCACTACTTAAAATTAATGTTGATAGTGGTGGTTGTAAGCTATCACGACTTCTTAAGAAGTTTCTTAAGATTAATTACAAGAGACATTTTGTTTCCACTGAAAGGGAAACTCAGTGAATCTGAAGGAAAACTCAAGAAACAAATCTTGATCTGATGCAATCAAGAATATATATATATTTGGTATTGGGAATTGAACTCAGGACCTTGTGCTTTCCAGGCATACATTTGTGCCACTGAGCTATATCCCCAGCCCCAATCAAGAATACTCTGAACTAAATGAGTAGATAACACTTGTGTGCGTGCGTGCGTGCGTGCGTGCGTGTGTGTGTGCGTGTACACTGGTGACTGAAGCCAAGGGTTCACACATGGTAAGCACATGCTGTACCACAAGCTACGTTCTGGTCCCAGATAACATCACCTTTTTAAATAATGCACTTCTGCAGCCTGCTATTTTTTGCACTAAGTCAAAAGGATAAAAAATATTAAATCCAAACATTTCAAAATGTTTTTTTTTTTTTTTTTTT